GGGGGGGGGGGGGGGGGGGGGGAGCCTTGGGGCTGTGAAGCGGGACACCTTGGCAAGTCGGACAGTGACCAGTGTCATCGATCCGAATGCCCAAGCGTGTGCGATTCTCGGCTCCTCAGCGCTCCCCCGCCCTCTCCCCCCCCCCCTCAAAGTCCGCGGCTACCTCTGTCAGACATATCCACTGCTCCCCTGGATGTGGCGTGGTCAGCCAAGCGCATGGTGCTTTTCTTCTTGTTTGCCGCTTGAGCTTCTTGGCTGGCCCCAGCAGTTCCCATCACGTCCCTCCTTCTTGGCAGCAGCAACGGCCATGTTCTTGCTTGTGTGTCCGCTGCATACATCAATCCTTGCAGGGGGAGCAGCACCGCGCCCATCATACCGTGCAAGGGTGTAAAAAACCCCACCCAACCCCAGCACCAATCCCAGCAGCAACAGCAACAACATAGTCGCAATATTCTGGGGGCCTCCGCCCGTGCAGCCGCCCCCCCCTTCCTCCTCCTCCCCCTCCGATGATGAAGCTGGGCCTGGGGGATGGCTGTTCGAGCAAGAAAAGCAGACCACAAGCGTGTGTGTGTGCGCGCGCGCGCGCGCGTCCCTATCCCACCGCACATGCACATTCGACGCACAGGCCCATGTCTCTCCTGGCTCTTGGCATGAATGTGGCATGTGTGGCAGCCAACCTGTCATCGCGAGACAGCGAGGCACACCGGGGCGATGCCACTGCTGTTGAAGAGGTCCAGAGACGACCTCCCCCTCCTCTCCCAGGCGGGACGTGTCTTTGTTCCCCCCATCGGCCGTTACCTTCTGCCCTGTGTTTCTCGTGTCTCCACTTCTTCGACTCGCCACCTTGGTGATAGGTCGTGCGCTTGCGCCGTGGGCAGGCAGGGAGAGCATCCCTCGCTGCGCCCTTCCGGAGATCTTCCTATCCTTCTCCCTGCGCCTCAGTAAAAAAAAAACACCTCCAAAGCCCCAAACGACGCTGTCTGCTTCTCTCTCTTTGTCTCTCTCTCTCCCCCCCCCTTTGCTTCTCCCGTCCCCTGGCCCCATCAA